GGGCCTGGTGCACTGGGAAGACCCAGAGGGATCGGGTGGAGAGGGAGGTGGGAGGGGGGACCGGGATGGGGAATACATGTAAATCCATGGCTAATTCATTTCAATGTATGACAAAAACCACTGCAGTGTTGTAAAGTAATTAGCCTCCATCTAATAAAAATAAATGGAAAAATAAATAAATAAATAAAATGGAAACAAAAAAAATAAATAAATAAAACCGGTACATCAAAGACTTCAGATGTGGCTGAATGCAGAGGTTCACAAGATAACAGTTTAATAGACCTGTTTACGCACCTGCCTTGCCTCTCCCCCTTTCTCTATTTTTGCTGTAGTCCCTTTATTTCATCTCAGGGAAGACCTTTTCATATGGTAACATTCTTGGCCACCAGCAGCCCCAGGATTATTTGATCCCAGACAAAAAGAGCATTTTTACTAAGAGCTCCTGAAGCCGTCCTAGAGAAGACTTGGATTGACCTAACTAGGCCTCAGCTCGTGGGTCTCTCAGTTTCTCCTTGTATACGCCTTGGTTCTAACTCTCTATCCCCCTACCCATGGCTCAGTCTCCCGCTCCCATTTCTAGAATCTCTATGTTCAGGATCTGTTCTTAACAAATATGCTTTCAGTGCAAGGAAGTTGAGCAGGATCATATTTAGTGTTGGACATTCAGGATCTGGATTTATAGGTATCTCCCCTCATTGATCAGGATTTCAACTTTGTAGTAAAGGCACAGACTATCTGTCCTCTCTAATAGCTGCTGTTTGTAAGAATACTAAATAAAAACTCTGAAATTAACTTTAAGAAAATTCTCAGCAAAATGTGACCTACATAGGAATTGTTAAAGTGCATTCAATTGGAACACTAATGATTTTCTTTTGTATTTTATCCCTGTGTTTTAAGGAGGTGTTGCTTTTAAAAATAGAGTACAGAGAACCTGAAGGGGGCTCCAGGGCTTATTTTCACTGCCTTGCTTCCTCAGGGGTCCCGTCTTTCTTTCCTGGATTCTGTAAAAATCTCCAGGATTAGAGAATCTACAACTTCCTTGATTATATATTCTGCTCTTTAAGTAACCTTACCATTGAGGAAGTCATCTAGTTTCTATT